TGGGGCAGAGGGGACAGCAGACGGTTGGTTAGGGAGGACCTTCAGGACAGAGCAGACGGCAGACTGTTGGTTAGGGAGGACCTTCAGGACAGGGGCAGAGGGGACAGCAGACGGTTGGTTAGGGAGGACCTTCAGGACAGAGCAGACGGCAGACTGTTGGTTAGGGAGGACCTTCAGGACAGAGTGGACAGCAGACTTGGTTAGGGAGGACCTTCAGGACAGAGTGGACAGCAGACTTGGTTAGGGAGGACCTTCAGGACAGAGTGGATGGCAGACTTGGTTAGGGAGGACCTTCAGGACAGGGGCAGAATGGACAGCAGACTTGGTTAGGGAGGACCTTCAGGACAGAGTGGACGGCAGACTTGGTTAGGGAGGACCTTCAGGACAGAGCGGACGGCAGACTTGGTTAGGGAGGACCTTCAGGACAGGAGCAGAGTGGACGGCAGACAGTTGGTTAGGGAGGACCTTCAGGACAGGGACAGAGTGGACAGCAGACTTGGTTAGGGAGGACCTTCAGGACAGAGTGGACGGCAGACTTGGTTAGGGAGGACCTTCAGGACAGGAGCAGAGTGGACGGCAGACGGTTGGTTAGGGAGGACCTTCAGGACAGAGCGGACGGCAGACTTGGTTAGGGAGGACCTTCAGGACAGGGGCAGAGTGGATGGCAGAAGGCATCTTCCCTTTACGCTTACCTAGAGGAAAATATTTTTGATATTTTGCCACTCGTCTAAGGGGTGCTGCTTTTTTTTTAACTTAAGAAAAAATTGAAACAAAAACAGGGTCTCACAGTGTTTTCAACTAGCAACCTTCCTGTATCTGCCCCTGAGCGGTGCTTTCATGGGCATGTACCGATGTACCGTGGCTTTTCTTTTTCAGATGAAAGTTCTCTATATTCCTGTTTCTTTAAAACATGAATGACTATCGATCATATCAAATGGTTTTCCTTGTCTTTTGTTGCTGTTGTTTTGTTTTGAGGATTTCTTCATGTAGCCCAGGCTGGACCGAAACTTGCCGTGTACCCAAGGATGGCCTTGAACTCCTGTTCCTCCTGCCTCCACTTCCCAAATGCTGAGATTACAGGCATGTGCCACCATACCAGGCTTCTCCGTTTATTGAGATTTTTTTTCTCCTTTGTCCTGTTAACACCGTAAATTCTACAAGTAGGATACATATTTTTTAAAAGCAAATAAATAAATAAATAAATAAATAAATAAATAAGAACAAAAACCCCTTGCATTCCTGGAATGAATCTATCTTATTCCTAGAATAAACCCAGCTTTATGATATTTTCATGTATTTCTGGATTTGGTTTGAGAACATGTTGTCAGGTTTGAGTATCAGAATCACACTCACTTTATAACACGAGTTGGGATCTCTCCTTCTCTCCTTACCTTTTCCTTTTCTCCTTCTGTCCATTCTCCGGAAGAGACATTTAAACCAAAGCATCATTTTTTAGTCGCACCCACCCCCTCCCCCTTTGCCTACTCTGTCTTCTTTCCTCTTTGCTAATTTGTTCCTGCCCCAAACCTTGGGGACCTTCTGTCAGACTGTCAGTTCTGTCCCCAGACTCTGTGCCACCCTCCTCCACGGTCAGCACGAACACGGAGCCAGCGTTACTCCAGAATGAGACTCCCTGTGATGTACCGCAGCAATGTCCCTCCTCACCACAATCTACTCCACCCACAGCACAAGGCTCATCTGGATGTGTGGGAGTCTGAATGCCTTTCACTATGGTGTGCAAGAGTCCAGTGAAACCACCAAGCTGGACCACTCCGTGGGTAGAAAGAAAGGTTTATTGTGGGTCAAACTGCCAAGGCTGTGGACAGGGGCAGAGAGATGTAGAATGACGGAAAAGCAAACAGATTTTACATGAGTCAGCAGGGTGGGAATCTTTGAGCTGAAATTGTCCAGATTAGCCAGGAACTAGGTGCCCCTTGCTCAAGGTAGTTGGCCTTTGGGGGGCAGATTAAGGAATTAAGGGACATCACTGGTAAACAGAAATATGCCGGATGAGATCCAATTTTCTGGTAAACAGAAACCCGGCTTTAGGATCTGTTTACCCAATAACAATCCTTGTGTTTACCCAATAACAATCCTTGTGTTTACCCAATAACAATCCTTGTGTTTACCCAATAACAATTCTTGTGTTTACCCAATAACAATCCTTGTCTTTACCCAATAACAATCCTTGTGTTTACCCAGCCAAAGTCCTTCTGTTTAGGATATTGTCACCAGCACTACCATTTTGGGGAACCCGATTTGGACCTAACAACCATAAGGAAAATAAATAAATGTGTAAGAGCTCATCATTCTCCAGCTCATAATTTTAAATGATTCTCTATTCCACTTGAATAAAATCTGAACCTCTTGCTGTGTGACATTGGCATAAGGTTTATTCACTGAGGGGCTCTGTGACTGACAGGGGCATCTGTCTGTCTTGCTGCAGTTCAGTGATTCAATTGATTTTGATCATTGGGTGTTCTCATCTTCAGGAAGAAACCCATTTTCTTTCCTCTGCTTTGAACTGGGAGCACTCACCACCATTCATTGATTAGACTTTGTCACACTGACCCAGTTAACATCCACTTTGGCTTTTGTCTTAGGGTTTCTATTGCTGTGAAGAGATGCTATGACCATGGCAATGCTTATAAAGGAAAACATTTAACTGGGGCTGGCTTACAGTTTCCAAGGTTTAGTCCATTGTCATCATGGTGAGAAGCATGACAGCATGCAGGCAGATCTGGTGCTGGAGAAGGAGCTGAGAGTTCTATACCTTGATCCATAGGCAGCAGAAGGAGACTATGTGCCATGCATGGGCATGGCTTGAGCATATGAGACCTCAAAGCCCACTACCCCCACAGAAGGCACACTTCTTCTAGCAAGGCCACACCTACTCTAACAAGGCCACACCTACTCTAACAAGGCCACACCTCCTTATAGTGCCACTCCCTATGGGTCAAACATTCCAATACATGAGTCTATGGAGCCATACCTATTCAAGCCACCACAGCTTTGTTGATCAAAGGGGTGGGCAGAGACTACAGAGAAGCAAATGGATTGCCAGGCAATTTCTACTCTTCAGTCTTCCCTGTCTGTCCTCCCCCTCCCTCCCCCTGTCCCCATCCACACTCCAGCATGTGCTCATCTCCATCCCTGGTGTTCCAGCCACACCAACCTTGTATTTCGGGTCTTTGCAGTTGTGTGCTTGTCTGAATGTCTTCACTCATACCTTCTCTTGGCTAGCTTCTTTTCATCTGAGCCTCACAGCAGACGTCACCAGCCCAGCGAAGAGGCCCATCTTATCTCCACACCATCCTGTGTCCTCTTACCCTACTTAAATGTCAGGGGTCCTGTTTTCTCTCCTCTCCCTGTCTAGGGTTTCAATTTTACGCTTGATAGAACTTAGGTGCCCCGTACAGCTCTGGTGTTGTTTCTGATATTTTTTTTTTTTCTGAAATAAGATTGTACAAGCATTGTGTCTCTTTCATGTACATTTGATGATTTAAAAAAAAAAAAAAGGCCCCTGTTAGTCTTCAGAGGTTCTGATCAACTCTTGATGACCTTCTCTGTGTTCTTGACACACTGGCTTGCCTACACAAAGCCCAGGGCTGGAGGGATGAGTGAGGATGTCGGCCAGTGTTTCACTTCCAGATGGCACTGTGTCCGTACACAGAGCTGTCTTCCCCTTCAGAAATTTACCTAGAAGCCGCGAGACTTCACTTCACTTTTGGTATACTCCTCCAACATGGTCCTTCCCCAGAGCGCCTCTTCTACAAAGAGTACAGTTTACCCCTGTCACATGTTCACTTCGGACGGGGAAGCCCGGGACATACTCGCTCCACAAATCTGATTCACACAGCCTGGAAACTGAATCTTGGCTCAGACGCCGGAATCAGCCCTCTGCTGGCCCACTGCCTGAATCCTATTCACTACTCAAGATCCCTCCGTTCCCACTTGACCTTGCCACGCACCCACTCTGTCATCCTTCTCGGTGGGACCCCTGGGCCACCTCCCTCAGCTCATTTCTCTCCAGTTCCCTCTCAGGCACTTGAGAGCTAGGAGGTTTCTCATCATTGTTGTGGTTGGGGCATATTACAGGGTCTCAGGCTTGGCACCCGGCTGGCCGTCTATCCACCTCTGGTGGTTATCGGAATGACCTGCACATTCCTTTCAAGATGGGTAAGGTGAACACTTGGGATTTCTGGATTTCCAATGCCGTTTACAATTTTCTCAGCTTCTCTCTTCTATCCAAGTCAGGGCCCTTTCTCTGGCTCACCTTTTTTTTTTTTTTTTTTTTTAATTGGTTTTTTGAGACAGGGTCTCACTATGTAGCTCTGGTTTTTCCTGGAACTCACTCTGTAGACCAGGCTGGCCTCGAGCTCACAAAGATCCACCTGTCTCTGCCTCCTGAGTGCTGAGATTAAAGGCGTGCACCGCCATAACCAACTCTTTCTCTGGCTCTTTAAGAGCAATGAGGAAGGAGGATTTTCTTTGTGGTTTCTTGAGACCCTGAGCGGTTGTGCAGGCCTGACTTCCCCCCACCTACCGCCCAGTGAAGCTTTCTCTTTACGTACCTTCTCTTAAGTGCCAAAGAGGAAAATATTAGTTGCTCTTAACCTTTATCCTTTTCAGTTTCTTCCCCTTTCCATGAATTTCCTTTCTCACAATCCAATTTCTCTTCACTTAACCACTTATATTTTTCCTGTTCCCCAAACATAGTTCCTAAATTATTTTAACATCTGACTTGGACATTAAAATGCACTTAAAAACTCACATTTACAGGGTGTCATTTTATTTAACCTAGTAAGCACGACTTTAATGTAATTTAGCATACACACACACACACACACACACACACACACACACACACACACACACATATATAGTCTTTGGTTTCCTTGTGTGTGGATGCATGATGCCAGCTCTGTCCTGGGACTCTGTTTGGGGTCCAGATATCAGAGATGCTGTTAGCCTTGGAGACTTCAGGATCCAGGAAAGGGTCATGGAAACCTCTATGGTCAGAGCTCATTATCCCCTTTCCTAGTTCCTTTATATCCAACCATATTTCTATCTTTGCGTGAATCGTTGAGATCCACGGTCTCCACTCTGACCACATATTAAAGTACACGGAGAGACCAAAGAAGAGCACCATGGAGGCTGATTGTTGCTAAGGCAGGCTGGTGGTATGTGAGCTGTAGACCTTTCTGATTTTTTTGTATATGGTTGGCTCTTAATAAGATGAATACATAAAAATGTTTTTGTACATGGGCTTGTATGTGCACTGTAAAAATTTAAAAAATACTGATAACAGGCTCTCTAGAAGACCAGTGAAGACAGACTTCTTGGGGGCACTGGGTCTGGAATCTAGAAACAGTACCCCGGGGGTTCTTAGGATGAGATGGGCATGTGAAGACAGGAAGGTAACTGAACCGGAGACCCTGGCTCCTTGAGACTGTGAGCAACTAGCTCTCTTCACCACCTACTCCTCCTCTTTATCTTCTTCTTAGTCCTTTGAGACAGAGCCTCATTCTGTAGCCCAGGCTGGACTCACCCTCACGGCTGTCCTCCTCTCTCAGCGTCCTGAGTACTGGGACTACGGACAGGAGCCACTCGCTGCACTGGACCTGGGACTCTAGACTTCTAATGAAGTGCCAGATGGATGCTCCTGGTCAAGCAGCACCAC